AAAATTAGTAAAATACAAAATAACATACTTAATTTATGGTTAAGTGAATGTTCAGATAACAGTGTTTGTTTCCAATTCAAGTAATACACACAGTTGGCCAACTTGAGAAAAACAGATGGGTAGCTATCTTTATTTTTCTAAATATTTTCTAAAGAGTTAATACATGTTCATAGCAGGGGTTGTGTAGTTAGTCTGTTCTCCTCTCTAAGTAAAGCTTTGCAGTGTGTGTGTGTGTGTGTGTGTGTGTGTGTGTGTGTGTGTGTGAAAAAGGGGTTATCTATTTCTTCTAAAATGCCTTAATGAATGGGAAAAGATATGGTTAGGTTACAAAGTACAGCAACGTTTGCTTTTGGCATCATTATCTGGGGATTTTTGTGCTTTTCTTCCTCCTTTGCCTTATCTCTTTTCCCTTTTCACAGCTCACACTTACACAAACTGTGTCATTCATTATAATGATAAAGCAAGTACTGAGTGTTCAGCTTTCATTCTTGTCCTTGGATGTTAAAACTGACAGCTTAGCACCTCTATTACTTTTTATCTGTGAGTCATTGGCCTTGCCAGCACTCAAGATAAGAAAGTCTCACACTTGCCAGGGGCAGAAAAAAAAAAAAAAAAACCAGGAAAACTGAAAAGAGCACTGGGGTGAGTTATACAAACCACAAAATGGGCGGTAGGAGGCTGTTTTGAAAATGGCTGGGATTTGCCATTCACTGGGACAAAGTTATAAATGAGAACTTGGTGTGATTTAGATTATGTCCAATGGAAAGTCAACTTGCAACTACCAGGTTAACCAGTATAAATCTCTAAAGGAGTGGAGAAATCCAACACTTTACCTCATTTTAATTCAAGGTCTAAAGGAACTCTGATTAAAATGAATTTGACTTTCTCACACTAAATCCTTATTCATGAGACATTAGCCACAAAAACTGAAATTCAACATTTGATGTCCTGTGTTTGTGTTTTGTGTGTGTGTGCGTGTGTGTGTGTGTATACCAAAAAACAATCTCATAAGAGGAACAGAGAATTCACTGATACATTAAGCGTGTTTTCTAGGTTGCTGTTTTTACTGATACATTTTGGGAGATTGAACAGAATTTTATGTTCTTCTTCTTCCTCTACTATAAACTATCTTTCCTGGCAGTCTTCCTTCTTTCCTGCTTTGTGTACACTGCAAAGGAATCGGCACAGGGTTGTGAGGGACCTCAAAGGATATTCAGTCCTCATCTGCCCAGGTTTATAGATGTCTAGTGGAAGTTCTCTCTTCCCTGTGGTTTATGAAGGGCTAGAGAAGTCTGTGAAAATGCTACATTGATTTAAAGTTTCTAGCTAGTACTAGTTCTTCTTTGTATTGACTGCATGGTTAAGCACATATTGGAATGGAGAAGAGTCATATTTAATGTCTGCTACATCTTCCATGTCACCATCTTTTACATTCTCAACGACATGAAGATCTGAGTAAGCATAAGCCACACCCATAAATCATCCTCTGCTGATTGATTCCCAGTGACACTTAAAGTGGAACAAGATTAAAGTTGCTTGGAAAGCAAGTCTATGTGAAGAAAAAAATCTCCTGGATATGTATAATCCCCCTCCCCCCATTTTTACTATTGTCTTGTCCACGTCTAATTTGATAGCATTGTCTTAGTGATTACCATTAAACAATCTTTCCCAAGTCTGAAGTTCATTATCATAGAAATGAACTTATTTTGTTACATTCATATGTATTTGCTTTATGCAATGTTGAATTGTGTAATAATAGACATAAACAAGTCTGGAACTACCGTGGCTCAACACCTGACTGGTAGGAGCACACATGCAGAGAATGAACTAAGGAGGGGCTGGTAGTTTCTAGATTTCAGCTAATCTCAGGCATCAGTTAGTAGGTGGAAGAGAGAGTGACAGCTAATCCAGTGAGCTGATAAATGGAAGCCAGAGAAGAGAGTTTTTATTGTATTCCTAATTTGCAAATTGAGAAACTGAAGCACTGAAAATTTAAATGAAAATGGTCTATTACATTCACTCCCAGTAAATACTGGACTGGGAGTACGTTAGAGGGATATACAGTCAAGCAGGACTCAGAAAGTCTTCTCCAAAGGAGAAATGCCTAAGGTGAAGTGCCAATCAATCCAGCAGAAGAGGGGCAGACAGCAATCAGGACAGAGGGACCAGCATTTGAAAGACGACCAAAGGCAAAGAACATAGCTGGGAAGAAAACTGCAAGCAGTTCTTAGAGTAGGAGGGAAATGATGAAATACAATGAGTGAAAGAAGTAAGTAGAGGCCCAACACCAAAAAAAAAAAAAAAAGCTGCATAAGTTACTCTAAAGAATTTGAACTTTATTCCCAGAACAATGGAAATCCATGAAAGGAATCAGGGCAGTTGAGTGACTGGTTCACATTTGAACTTTAGGGCTATATCACTTGACTGCATTGTGGAGAAAGGAGTGGAATGCCAGATAGGAAGGAGACTGTGGCAGCAATCCAAGCAAGAGCTGATGGTGGTCTGAATTTGCATAACGTCTATGGAGATAGAAGATACATTTAGGAGCTAGCTTCAACAAGACTTGCTAATTGATTGCATGTGGAGGTGGTGGTGAGACTGAAGTGATGTTAAAAAGGACTCAGGTTTCTGGGGCAGTCATCTGGAGGGAGGTATCCCTCCTCAAGATAGTGAATTCAGGAGGAAAGGTGTAAGTTTCAGGGCTGGTGAAATGTATTTCTAGACATGTTACATTTGAACATCCAATTTGAGATGACGTACGGGTGGTTGAATATATGGGTTAGTTTAAGAAAAAGATGTGGGCTGGAAATATGGATGCTATAAATGGCAGCATGTAAATGTAATAAATAGAAGATGAAACAATATAAGAATATAACATGAAAAGGAAATTAGCCAAACCTCCCCAAACAGTACTACATTTCTATCTTTGTCACATGGGTGATATCGAAAGAGCAAGCTACCACACTGATGCCACCATGCTTATGCATAATAGCACGTGCATAATGGTATCTTTCTTTTTTTAAAAAAAAATAATGCACTAAACCTACTTTTCCTAATATGAAATAAATGGGGGATACTGATCTGGAAAAACACTTAGCATGACTGTAGTATTTCTTGTCCACTTCTAAGCAGGCAAAATCATAATTCAAAACGGAGGTGCCATCATTGTAAATACTTTCTAATTGTACATCATCAAAAAAGATAGAGGGGTTGATGCTACTGGTAGCTAGAAAGAAAAGGATGGGCTATTATATCTAAAATAGGGTGTGTCTACTTCAAAGTGAGTCTTTCGGCTCACCCATGAGTAGGAGTGATTTGCTACAGTGAAAATCAATGGGCATTAGAGTTGGGGTGAAAGTCTAAACTTCACAATCTATCTCCACTCCTCAATAATGAGCAGCTGAAGCAGTCCGAAGACAGACATGCTTGGGCAGACAGCAGGCAATAAACAATGTATAGAAGTGGAAGCTTAAAATAAGCTTTCCGGTTTTTTGGTTTTTTTTTTTTTTTGCCACAAACAAATCAGTTATCTTCTCTGGATCTAATTCCTTACCTAGAGGAGGAGGGCATTAGCAGATAATCTCTGAGGTCTCCATAAATTTCAACATCCTGTTGCTCCAATCACCTGCACGTTAAGGTACAGACTTCACTGGTAAGTCCTGTAGCCTAAATCCACCCCACCCCCGGCTGAGGAAGCAGGGGAAATACTTTTAGCTTAGTAGCATTCCCGTTCAAGATTTGTCATCACTCAAAGCCCAGGTGGACCAAGGTGCATATATTAATTTTTTCCTTGTGGTTCCTAGTTTTCATTTTGATTTGAAATGTACTGACTTTTATTAGCATTAGCTATTGCCTGGAATCTATGATTGTCATAGCGGTTTGTTAGACGGTCATTTCCCCCCAGCTCTATCCAGTTTACTAATGCTGGCTGTTTGTAACTCAATATACCATCTCCAAAACCATGGTTTTCACATTTTGTTATCTTTATTTTTGGAGCCAACGTGTTAAAACAAAACAAAACACACCAGTATTAATGTTAAAAGAACTGTATTTTCATTAAAACCATTGTTTCATCTGTGGATAGTAGGTTAATTTATAAATTTCATAAGAGCTAATTTAACTTTATTCCCCTGAAGTTCCCCTAAACACCTCTAACTGGGAGAGTTAGCCTCCTATGTGCTCAGTTGCTTGCTCACGCCCCTTTGCCCTTCAAGTCCATTTGATGTATGTTTCGCAGGACGTAGTGGAGACTTCTGGCCCGAGAGGCTGGAAAATGTAACTGCAAATTTCCTACAATCTCAGCTCCACTTTCTCCCGTGCGCCCGCCCCCGGCTGGAGCGGTGTTGTGGTCACGTGGCCGCGGGGCCCGGCCGGCCAATGGGCGCGCGCGGCCCCGCCCCGCCCCGCCCCGCCCCGCGACTGCGCCGCGCCGGGACTTTGCGCACCGCAGGGGGAGGAGGCGAAAAAGTTTCTTGTGCGGGCAAGAAGGGGTCTGGGCGCGCGGAGGCTGCTCGGGTGGCAGCTCAGCCGCAGTTGGCCCATCTTTTCGGTTTCCCTCTGCTGCTCTGGGGCATGAAAGGGCTTCGCCGCCAGGAGTGAAAGGAGGAGTTTCCGGAGTTTGCGGAGCGAGAGAGGAGCGCGGGCGTCCGCTGTCGCCTGGAAGCTTGTGCGGGGCCCCAGGTGCGCGCCGGCTGCGGAGCGCCGGGCCGAGCGAGAGTCGGCCGGTGGGACCGCGATGGGCGCGCCGACGCTCCGTGCGCCCGCGGCGGCGCTGGGGCTGCTGCTGTGCGCGGTGCTGGGGCGCGCGGGCCCGGCCGGGAGCGGCGGCCGCGCGGCACTCGGGCAGCCCTCCGGGGTCGCCGCCGAGCGCCGGTGCCCCGCTCCCTGCCGCTGCCTCGGAGACCTGCTGGACTGCAGTCGCCAGCGGCTGGCGCGCCTCCCCGATCCGCTCCCGTCCTGGGTCGCTAGGCTGTAAGTATCCCCGGGGCAGAGGGCACACACAGGGCCGCTCGCGATTCGGGAAAACTGAGCCGACAAGGGCCTGGTTGCTCGGGACTCGGCGCGCACTGCTTGCTTTGCGGGCAGATCCTTCTGTTCCAGGCCACGGTCAGCGCTCCGTGGGGGTGGGAAACGAACTGTCGGGGCCTCAGTTTCCCTCCCACGTGCCTTGCCGGCAGCTCAGGTGGGCTCTTGGCGCGCCCCCCCCAGGCCGCAGATAGGCGGGAGGAGGAGGCCACTGATAACTCCAGGGGCCAGGTCGCTGTCCTTCGCCTTAAGCTAGCCAAGGGGGTTGAAATGCCCACTCCTGCCAGGCCGAGGTGGGGGAGGTGGCAACCTGTGGACAACCGGAGTTTACAGTTCTTGGTCTGAGTAATTTTGAGCCTGTGGCTCAACTTTTTGTTTCTAACTGGTTCCGGCCCTTTATCCTCTTCAGAACCAGCGATCGCGCTCCTTTAGTTTGGGAAGCTTTCTCAACAGAATTCGGTCTCTATCCAAGCTATGATATGCATACTTTTGTTCTACTCCCTGTTCTTGATTTCACATTAGCAGACTGTAAGTCCCTCCTCCTAGACCAAATTTTAACACATCCAGGTTCCGGTAAGAAGTTACCTGGTAAGACTGATCAGTAGATATGTAGAGAAAGGAACTAGATTTCAGAAGCAAGGGAGTGATTTCTGTAGCTTCTCAGCATGCCCAGACGGTTTAAAGGAGAGCACGGGGTACTGTTATGCAAGTTTTTGGATTTTAGCTGTGAAGTCTGAAAGCACTGCCAACTGCGTGGAAGAACAAGGCAGAAACTGTAATTTAGTTGTAAATGTTGATCCTTTCCAAATGTCATCTCTCTCTATTCGTTCCCAGCCTCCAGTTTTCTTAAAATTGGAGGAGTGCTTTAAAATGTAAACACACAATCAAAACTTGTATTTTTAAAAAGTAGTTCTGTTTAAAAAGTGCAGTTAATTACTTAAATCTCAGATTTCGGCCTAGCAGAATTGAGATGAAAATTCTAGGTTCTTAAACAATTCTAGTAGATTATCCTAATGTCCTATTAATGGTAGAAGGTTTGATCAGGTATTTTAAGAAATTGTTTTTAAATTATTGTGCTAATCCAAATCCTTTTATTTGTGTATTGTAGGCCATCAGACAACATATTCTTTGTGCGTGTGTTTAATATGCCTTAGTTTAATAAAAAGACAGAGTTAGAGCATATTGGGTTGATATTTAATCTCTTATCATGGGATGTTTTATTTAGTAGTTTTTATTACAATTGAAGAAAGAGATAAAGGCTTCAACCTAAAGCAGGAAGACTTTCAATTAGTTGTGGCTAATTCTGTTCAATTGCCTCTTGTGGAGGTCATGCTGTCTTATTCATGAAATGTGAATGGCTCTATTGACAACATATGGAATTGAACATTTGAATGACTGGAGGTGAACACCTATGAATAATAGAGGGATGACAGAGAAAATGAATACAGTGCTTCCTGGGGTGTGTTTAGAAATGCTTAGATTAATCCAACTTATATTCAGTAGTTTCTCAATGTCAGGTGGCCTATTGTGCTAGTGTGTAATATATTTTTTTGTGGATTTACATGTCTAAGAAAGTAACTGTGTGGCCCTTGATTAGAAGTTGAGTTGAACCAAAAGGGGTTTGATACCTATTCAAACATTGTCTTAAAAGTAGCTGACCTAATTAGGATTTTGTTTTGCAGATAATTTGGTGGCACACTAAAAACAAATTAGAGTTTATTTGGTTAGCACAGTCTTTAATTACATTTCCGCCAGCAGTAAATTGTCTCAATACAAGTCCACATTCCTTAAATGTATGTGAAAATAAGTTCCACTTGTATAAATAAGCACTCAGTCTGTTGTCAGAAACCCTGCTGTGATCACTCATTGGACAGCTCTGTCATTCTTGTACTTCTGTGACTTTTAACCATCTTTGTAGGTGTCACCAAACCATGTGGTCTAAATTCTTTATTGTAAATGTTTTGTTTGTGTCTAAAGCTTTAGAGGTCTCCTCTCTCCATCTTTGCAAAGAAGCATAAAAACACATGAAATTAAGTTTTACCTTGTCTATTATTTGGCATTTGGGAATAGGTGGTGTAAGAAGCTGCTTAAAGTTTACATAATTAGAAAAGCTCTTTAGTAGATTGTTTCAGTGTTCAAAAATAAGTAGAAAAGTGCACATTGTTCTTCCCCTTATTTTAACTTTTCGTTAGGTGATTAACATAGTAAAAGTTTGTCTTTGGACTAGTGTTTGAAAGCACTATTTGGAAGAATTTCAGTGTCAGTCTTTTGTTTCACTTGTTGAATTTGCAAGTTTAAAAAAATCTCTACGTGTATGTATTTTTTTTTACTTTATTCTATTCAGCTGTAATTTATTGCCATAGGGGCCCCATGTGTGAAAAGTTGAATAGTTTGAGCTATAAAATAATACTGTATTCAATTCTTCTTTCAAAAAGTAACCTCTAATACTTTAATGAAAGTGGCTCTTAAAACGTTAACTGTTTGAAACTTTGCCTATAATATCCTTTAAAAGCAGACTTGAGTTTACATCTAGTTTGTGCTTACAGAATTCTGAACTTAAAGAGCTTGTTTGAATATGTTATTTAGCCAAAAGAGGAAAAAGTTGCTAAATTGCCAACAAGAGCCTCAGATAATATTAAATTCTCACTGGAATTTCAGATTCATTTATCTTATCACATAGAAATGTTTGAGTTCTCAACAGGGCTCAGGCGAAAGTCTGAAAGGTAGTTAATGCGGTTTCCGCTGGTGTGACTTGGTTTCTGCTGGTGTAGTTGGCCCTGTTAGGAATCTTCTGGTCGGTACCAGAATTGGGAGTGGGGTGGGGGTTATAGTCCTTATGGTTTTCACAGCTGTTTCTCTATATTTTCCAGACTAAAACTTGAACATAGCAGGCTGATTTATGAGTCACATTGGATCAGTGTCTTAAAACAGCTACAGCCTGGCTTTTTGTTTTTCAGCTTTCCAGATTTCTGCTGAATTAGCAGCTCTGAAGGCCCCAGTGGGATTGATTAAGAAGCTGTGCTGGATTTGCATTTAAAATTTGACTTGGAAGTCAGATTTCCAAATGCTAAAAGAAAGAAAATGATAGCTGGAACCAAATGTTGTAAATTAATTATTTTCATATATATTTATTTGTTTGCTAACATGCAGGAAGAGAGATGTCTCTCTAACCAAGTATCTGGCCAGCTGAGTTCTGGGTAAATAGTTAATACCTCCCTACGTTTCCCATTCCCATTCCCATTTCTTAACCTCACTACAAAAAGTTTTTTAAAAGTTTTGTTTTGTGGGAAGATGTTCATTAATAGAATTCTAAAAATGAAGAATTTGCCTTCCTTATTGAATGCTTTAGAGTTAAGAAAACATCAACATTGTACAACTTGAATCTCTTTTTAATGATCTAGCCATAAAAACAATATAAGGAAGATTTAGGAAAATGTGACATCCTTTAACTAGGAAGTAATCATTTCTGAAATGTAAACTATATTAAATCTAAATTTAGGTACATTAAAAGTTTCATAGCTTTAAGTATTTAGCAGTAAAAGTCATTTAAGGGGTGCTTTTTTTCTCCCACATATAATGTGGTTTTAATAGTACACAAAACACAGGAATGGAAGTGTGTTGCAATAACTGAAATATTTAAAGTTGCCAGCGCCTGCTTCTGGATCAGAAATGAGTGGTCCCCAGCATGTGCACTGGTCTCTGAAGGCAGTTTCTTATTTTTTAAAGGTCTTTTGTTGGGGGATCTTATCCCATTACTGGTTGAAAAAAAGTTGAGCACTCAATCTTGTCACAGGAATGTCCTGTGAAATAATCCTTAAAATGAAGAAAAGAGCATAGTTTTAGGCTTTTTAATTAAAAAAGAAAATCACCTGTATTAAATGTTAATGCCAAATTGGTTTCCCCCTTTCTTTTTAAAACCTGAAACAATAGGGGATACAGTTTTTACATTGGTTCCATGCTCTCTAGTTAAGTGGGTCCAAGTGAGACTTTCTGTTGACTCAGGCTACCTCCCAGGTGAAGGACTCTTTTCTTTGGTTGTTTTTTAAACCATGTGGTAAATCTATGACTGTCTGGGGTGCTAAAAGCACACAGGTTTTGTTTGAATCCTAACGTGAGTTGTTGAGCTCACGGTTTCCTTGATGAACTCCAGATGGACTTGAGCTGGGCTGTGAGGGAAAGTGTCTGGCTCCAGCCAGCGTGGTGAGCATGCACAGCAGTGGTAATTGCAGGATTTTTATAGTTTAAAGACTGTGCCAGATTTTTTTTCATGTTATAACTCTACCAGAACAAATCTACTCATGTCTGTTACTGTCTGGTAGGTCTTTAAGCAAACATATTTCAAATAAAAACCTTTGCTGATTTTTTTTTTTAGGTGAAATAGAGAAATCTAGGTTTATTCTCTAAACAAAAACTCAAAAGACTGAAAGCATTTCTGATTTTTAATTGTTAACTAAGCACTATAACACTGTGCTTCTCTGGATGTGATCTCTCTCCCTTTTTAATTTATTTTTTTGGGGGGGATGCTTTTCTCCAATCAACTTTAGTATTATATAAAACTTTGGTCTTTTAAAAATATGTTTTTAAACACTGAGAATTAATTTAGTTAGGATTGGATAACTTCTTTTGGTGGGGAGGTTTAGGCCATACTATTTGTTAACATGTTTTCAGTAGCTATTCAGCCATTTTATTTTCATTACACCATTTTGAAGGCACACAGTATATTGACATGTACAAGGAAGAGAACCAAACATATTAGCTAGATTTTGTTCCGTATTTTGAACCTTAAATGAGATGACTTCCTAGCCTAGAATATTAACCTATGCAGGAGTTTGTTACTGTTTTTAATAGTAATGATGCCTTATAGAAATTTATACTAAGTTAGATTGAGCTCTTGAGTGAGAAGCACCTTTATTTAAAAGATTGAACTCTGTTCACAGGTTTCTGTCTAGTTTAACTTTGTTAGATGGTCACTGTGGCTTGAATTACACATTATAATACCAGATATTAAGATTTGGGGATTTCAAGAAAGAAGAGGGTTCAGATTGTTTTCTACCCTTTCAACACACACAAAATGATATTTGAAACAGGTTGGTGCCTTAACCCAGAGAAACAAATAGGTGTGCAAAGCAATTTCTGTTTTGTTTGACTTTAATAAGGACGTCGATGCCCAATTTTATGACAATAAAGAGTTTTCTTTAGAGGCTTTAGTTTCTGCAACCTGCCTAATTAGCCACTTTTCATAAGCCATGATGTCATCATATCAAGTGGAGAGTGGGGAGATGGAAGGGGATGGGAGGGTGAAGCAGAACTTCCAGTTCACAAAAGATTGGTTCACCGTGTGCCAAGAAACATCTCTTAAAACATTTGTGGGCTAGAAATGTTTGAATCTGCCAGCCTCCTAAACTAATTTTGCCCTAAGAGTTTGTATTTTTGAGTTTGGCATTTTGGTTGCCGTGTAGTGTGTGGGCAGAATGGACCAATTATTTCTCCTCTCACTAGTGTTCATAGAACTATGTCATAAGGCCCACTCTGTCTTGCATATCATTTAGCACCATTAGTGATTTTTAGAAACTACTTATAATGTTATTTTTGTTTTCTCATAGGGACTTAAGTCACAACAGATTATCTTCCATCAAGGCAAGTTCCATGAGCCATCTTCAGAGCCTTCGAGAAGTGTGAGTCTTAGTTACTTGCTACTTAAAGCCTGCATAAAATACTCCTCATGCTATTTAGCTTGTAAAGAACATCTGGATTATAAGAAGTTATTTAAAACTTTTAACTTGAGAGATATCTTTAAATAATTTATAAAGTTTTTACCACCATAAATTACAGATTACCTAATCAACATTTTTTTTTCTTTTTTGGCATTTATAGTAAACTGAATAACAATGAATTGGAGACCATTCCAAATCTGGGACCAGTCTCGACAAACATTACACTTCTCTCTTTGTAAGTGAATATTAGCAAAATTTTGCATGTATGTCTGCAGGAACTATGGGTAGTAGTTCCATAGGGACAAGTATAAAGATCTTATAAGCAAAATTTGATTACTTCCTTTAAGGTATAATAAAGATGGGCTTTTAAAAATGGTTAACTTCTTTTCTAGCCTCTAACTCTGTCACTCCAAAATTTCAAATATCCTTTTACAAACACACTTTACGCTTTGCTGTTGTTGCTGAACTGGTTGCCAAGATTGAAAGAAGCCACCTTCATCCCATAGAGAAGTGTACTTTGGTCGACATTACATAGACTAGGACTTTAATTCTGGTATTGCTCAATGGTTGGCATGGGATCTGTGGATTACATATTGCATAGTTCCTGGTGGAGAATGATTAGAGTTGTTTTGTGAGCAGAAATGGGAGTTGGTAATAAGCCATTGTAGTATCCTCTTTTAAGTGTGGCGCCTGCAGTGGAAATCAGGGTTCAGAAACATCGACTCAGAATATCAATTTATATAGTTAAAATTAAATATGTGATTGAGGTCAGAAATAATCATTGCAGGTTATTTTGCAAATAAGAGTTTTCAAATACAATTAAAATTGTGCTAAATGTTCTATATTTTTAAGGCAGATAACATGTTTGTATTCATGTACCGAGATAGATTTTGGAATAATTTTGACTTTCAGCATTTAAAGATACATTTAGAATGCCAGTGGTTTAATTTCTAAAATTAAGTAATTTACCATCTTAATCATGAATAACAAATATATATAAGCCACTGAAGTTAAAAATATTTTCCTGCTTTAAACAACTTAAGAAAAAAAACCATCATTGTTAGCTGCTTCTGGGAAAGGTGTTGGGAGGGTTGAAATTATATAGTAAATTTCAGGAAAGCTGTTCAATTAATTAAAGTGATCACTACCCAATTGCTTACATCTGGTGATTTACGGAGATTTGTTTTTACTAAAGGCCCAGGTCAGCTAAGTCACTGGGTGCAGCCGCTGTGTCTGCTTTCCTTTGTTTGAATAAGAACTAAGTGACATTTGATACTGAAGCGGTTTTTCCAAAGATCAGAAACAGAAAGGAATGAAAGAAAAAGCAGTTGGTATTTGACAAGTAAACACTGAATTTAAAAAATATTTTTATGCTATCATTAGGACCTGTTTTGTCTTTCACAATTGCTTAAAATTTTGAAGTCTCAATGGAGTCCTGGTTTGGTATCTTAAACGTCTTTAGCTATTCTTGTTTGACCAATGGGGCTTTTTAAAATCCCACTTTGCCCTTGCTGTCCTTGCTCTGTGTATTGGCAGATTCTGTCAGCATGTTCAAGAGAGCCTGTTGGGCCCTGGTGTTTTTCATGGCTGAGAAGGTCTGCAGTGCAGTTTCATAATATGGGTGGGTGGGAAAAGAAGTCTATTATTTGGCATGGTATAGAGATGAAAACATAAGAACTTGCAAGGAAGTCAGAAAATTCTATTAGAAATAAATAATGTGGTGATTGTATGCTTTAAAGCTACAGTTTATAATTAGAAAGCTAGGATGACATCTGGAGAGTTAGAAATCTTAAGAATTTGAACTCTTACCCATATTGTTTTTGTTCGGGTTTCACTTTAGTGCTGAATATCACATCAGCCTGCATAATCTCACTTTCCTTCTCCTTAATTTGTTGCAGTCAGTACATCTGACCAGTGATTGTTTTGTTCATCTTGTATAATAATAGATCTGATTTATTACTTAGATTACATAGACTCTGCCAAGAGTAATTTATGTGATGGGCCTGCTTATTCTATATGAAGAGTGGAAAATTGTGTTCATACCTATGACATATCTTGAAAAATTTACCTCTCTGGTGGTTTTCTTCTACAAATGTTTTGTTTTCTCCTGCAGGATCCTTTGGATATTGTGGTACAGTCATTGTTCCTAAAGCAGTTTTAACTTCTGTGTTGTGTAGGGTGAAACATTTTCTTTTATGTAAAAAATTTTCTTTTATGAAAATAATTAGAGCTAAAAATTAGTTCTTAAATACATTTCTAAGATTTCAGGAAAAAATCTGTTATACCACATGACTCAGATGAGAAACTTGTTGTACCACAATCAAACCCCATACCTTTAATTGCAGTTCTCAGGGCTATTTGACTTTTATATTATTAAGTTTTTGGGGTTTTTTGTTTTTTACATTTTATAGAGCAAGACATTTCTTTGGGTTATTTGCAGATGTTAATTTGAAACTTGTGTTAAAGAAAAGGAAACATTAGTTGGAATGTTATCCATAGATTTACTATCGGTGCTCTGTATTGTTACTGCTCTGTGCCGTGGAGACCTCTCAGCTAGGGTGGCCAGATGCAGAGAAGACTGTACCTGGTGAGACCTTTGTCTTCTCATAGATAAAGGAGTCAGGAGCTAATAATGGGTCAAATGCCACCCCCTGTGCAGAGATGACATCAGTTAGGGACCAGTTCTGATGATGTCAGGGAAACCAGGTAAAATGCCAGGGAATTGGGATGATGGATGGATGGATGCTCCTTGACTGTCCACATTAAGAAAGCTCATCTGTAACTGTTTTAGGGATCACACAAACTAGCTCAGAAGTCAACCAACATTCTAGGGGCAAGGTATGGTTTGTGTGTTTGTGTGTTTTTATTTTTCACTCACAATTTCCTAGCTTTGGTAGGGTGGTATACGGCAGGGACCCTGCAGCCTTAGGGCCACATGTGGCCTTCTGGATCCTTGAGTGTGGCCTTTTGACTGAATCCAAATTTTACAGAACAAATCCTTTTAATAAAGGGACTTGTTCTGTGAAGTTTCAGTTTGATCGAAGGGCTGCACTTGGGGATCTGGAAGGCCACCTTGAGGCCACAGGTTCCCCACCTCTCACAGTGCTAGTTCTGGCTTCTTGTAGTGTGGTGGGCCCTGAAGCATTGGACCTTTTTGGAACCTGTGACCTGGGTTAGGGAAGCTTGAGTAATGCAACATTATTGTTGGACAAAGGAGGCTTGGTTGTTAGTTAGAGCTAGTTGTGTCTTAGTCTCAATGCTGATAGTTTACGTAGTGTTCCCCAGCGTGCAGGTACTCACCTGGTGTCCTAGGGTTGAAACGTCTCCGTCAGTGGCTGCCGCAGGGGCACCTAGCGTACTTATTGAGGATGTGGGTTCCCTGACCCCATCCCTAGCGATTCTAAACTTGTGGATTTGAGTGGGAGTATCCCACCCAGATGGACCCAAGAGTATCCATTTTAACACATCCATCTGCCCTGCTGATTCTAATCAGATACTGCATAAATCCTTCTGGAATTACTGATAGCTTCAGTTATCACAATCAAATAAGCCTTCTCTTTTTATTTCTTATCTCAGAGCTAGAGCCTGTCTCCCAAGTCCATCATTTTCTTTATAGTCTGTCATTTTCCAGAGGTGACTGTCATCATTCCAGAGAGGTTATTATAAATATTGATTACCTGTGCTGCTAGGGCCCCAACACATGGGCTCTGCCAATGGAAAGCCATTGAAAAGACTTAAAGCAGAGTGAGATTATCAGATCTGCTATATGAAAATGTCACTCTGTCTTTAGTGTGGAGAATGCCTGGAGTTGGCAGGCAGGTGGGTTAGAGGGGCAGATAATTAGACCATGCCGTAGTCCAGGAGCCATGGAAGCCTTGTTCTACGAGGCAGCTCCAGTTATGTCAGTAGAACAGCATTTAAAAGCAAAACTCAAGTCAGGTGGCCTGGGATTAATTGCTGGTTCTACCCTCTGCCAGATTTGTGACTTGGGCAACTTACTGTCTTTCTGTCTGTTTCTTCAGCTCTGAAATGAGAACAATAGCACCTATCTCACAGGGTTGTTGTGAGCATTTGGAAAGAGAATGCAGGTGATGTGATCTGTGATAATGATGATGATTCATTCAACTAAAATTTCTTGAATACCTACTTACTATGTGCCAGGCTCTCTTTTAAATGCTAGGGACACGCAGTGACAAAGCAGACAAACTCCCTCTTCCATTCTAGTGAGAGGAGAGAAAAATATAAGTAAACAAACTTTCAAAGGAAAGATAACATCCATTCGTGATAAATTCCCTGAAGGAAAAGAAAGGAGGACAGAGGGATCAGAGAGCTCTGGCAGGTGTTCTTTAATGTGGTCAAGGAAGGCAAATATTTATCAGACACTACTATGTGCCCGGGACTGTTCTAGGGTTTAGCAGTTAACAGAACAGACAAAAATCCCTTCCCTCATGGAGCTGACCCTCTCATGGAAGGAGAAAGACAAAAAAAGTAAGAGATATAGTCACAAGGGGATAAGGTGCAGGGGAGAAAAATAAAGCAGGGGAGAGGTGTTAGGGAGGGTGTGGCCTGAGAAGGTTTTACAGTTTTCCGTGGAGGTGCAGGGAGGGGTCCCTGGGAGAGCAGTGCTTGATGCAGGGCCTACAGGGGAGGGAGGGAGGAGCCTTGTGTGTGTCTGGGGCTGGGGTCATCTCTACTAGGCCTCCCCTGCCCACACCTGTGGTGCCTTATGTATCGTCTTACCTGTTACAAAGTAATGCAATGATTTTGTCTTGTGTTTTTCTCCTCCACCGTGTTTTGAGGCCTCTGTATCTGACTCTTCTTTCCCCTAGCACTTACTGCAGGTATGTGACAGAGTTAGTACCTAATAAATATATGAATCAAGGAATACTCATGACACAGCCACATCCACTTAGCATAATTCACACAGGTCTGCTCCTGTACACTTAATCTAAACCAATGGCTAAAGATTTACAGTGGAGACAGCATACCTATATTTTCCTTAACTCATGTTCAATTATGCACACTTGGTAAAATAATAATAAATATGACAACAGCAGTAATAATAATTAAAAGGAATAAAAGAACAAGAGAAGTAATTTAACACTCTAGGCAGTGAATACCTGCCCTGAAGTACCTGTGAGGTGGGGAATTGAAGCCCATTTCTTGTTTGCCTTTCTAAGTTTGAATGTTTCAGCTTGCTGAGGGTGACTTTCATGTTCAGAGACACAAATTTTT